AGACACATCCATGATGCAACTGCCTGTTAGGAATTGTCTACACTAATAATAGTTCTATCTGCTTTAGCCTAGAGGACACAGAAAAGGAAGTCAGAGCTGGGGTGACTGTCCCACATGGCTTCTGGGCTGTAATAAGCTAGCAAGCCATCACCGAGACCAGAACCCTGATCCTCATGATTGCACAGCAAGCACTTCTAACCACTGAGTAGGCCCCCCAGCCGTCTGCAAACATTTGAAAGAGAACTGAACTCAAGGCTGATATGTGTTTATAAGAATGTTATCATGTGAGAAGGTATACATGAAAAGGGCCACTATGGGAATTCTAAAAAGGAGGACAACACTTCACTTGGCCAGACTTGTCTCTTTCTGACAATTGAGACACACTACCAGCATACACAGTCAATAATAGTTGACATTACAGGCACGGTAGCTCCTGCCAGTCTGAAGGTCGCTTGCTGGCTTTAATAGGTATTCATTAAGTAGATGTTTTTAAAAGATTATATTCAGAGATGGTTAGATCCTGGTCAAGAAGTTGTGAATGGAAATAAGTCTGTCTCCATTGATCCTGTATTCTAGTGGGAAGGGTAGATTATAAACAAAGAAGTGTAAAATACTGTGCCCAGAAGCGGGTGGGGGGGTGGGGGGGGAGGAGTCTGGCCTTTGGACAGTGTTTGAATGAGCCCTTACTGAATAAGGGATTTGAGGAGAAATCTGTCTGGAGGTAGAGCAGGGCAGGTCTAAGTGTGTAGGAAGAGGTGTTCAGCTTCAGAAAACAGCCAGTGTGGACCCTGTGCATTAGGATTACTGGGGTATTATTGCCAAGGTGCCTCTGGAATGAGTTTCTTTACAATACTCTTCTTCAGCACACAGACATCATTTGCATTTCTTGGTTCATCTCTTTCTCTGCACTAAAAAAAAAGCCACTGTGTAGAGTCAGACACTTGTGCCTGACTCTGCTGCCTCTGGTTTTCCCTCTTGAGAGCATTAAAGTCACACTGGACCCCAGAACAATTCCAGCCACAATCTTTCCATTTCAACATCTCACAAAACCAGCTCGTCCATTAAACATGACATTTTCGCAGGGTCTGGGGCTTAGAGCTCAGGTGTCTTGAGTGGGCAGGGCCTTGTTTTGATAAGCACCTGAAATTGGTAACATTCACTGTTTTTAGGATTTCTAAGGAGCTCTAAATGGTCTTGACATTCAACCCTTGCCAATAGCTTTCCATAGGAGACACCCAGGTAATAGCCCCACCCCGAGGCCAGCCCATTGTGTGCTCGTGTTCAGGCCTACTGGTTTCATTTTCTGTCGTCCTCCATAACTGGGCACGATGAAGGCATCCTCCATGCAGAGTATCCATAGCACAGCCAGAGACCCATCCTTCAATAGCAGGAGACCCAGTTGTCCTAAGAGGGCCATCTTACGAGCACACTAGCATGATTATGCAGAACATTACAGTAAAAGGGAAAGAGCGAGTGACTCCTTGCGAAAGCCAGCGCCTCCTTCCAAGGGGACCGTTGCTTATCTATTCCATTCATGTAACTCAGCATCCCAGGAGTGTTGTAGAGGAGAGATGGGATTCCGTCCATGCTTCTCAATCTGCTCCTTTTCCTAAATAAACCTGAACCCTAAATTTATATTGACGTTCTAAAAGTGTCTCCGTCTGCCTCTCTGCTTCCACTCTTACTTCCTACACGAAACCCAGCTCTATTTATCCCCAAACTTCCAGTTCTCTCTGTCATGCCGCTTCCTTAAGACGTACCAGGTCCTAGGAGCCTCTATCCTTGTGGAACCAGGGGCACTTGACTTTTATGTTGGTTAAGTCTTAACCTCAACTGTCTTTCACTATTTTTATGCCCTTAACATGAAATATACTTAGTCACTTCATAAAACTCTTGAGTTGGAGACCCTGACATTGTCATTAAAAATTTTTTATTAGGTAAGTGTCTTGCACTTTATAGGGATAAACTAATACCTACTGGTGATTTAAAACTGTCTCTCTTGTCCTAGATGAGACAGGAATTATTTGAAGAAAGTTTCCTTGGCCATAGATAGAAGTGAGTTAAGACACCACCGTCACACTCTTGAAGCACATGAGGTGTGGCCATCTTCAGTTGTGTTTGTCTCTGGCCGATCTTTGAGGTCTGGGTTTCTCACTGGTAAGCACATGAGATCAGTCATACTCAGATTGGTCTCAGGTGCTCTCAAGCCTGCAGCACAGACCTGCAAGTGTGGGGACCGCAGCCCTCCTAAACCAAGCTGAGTCTGGCGGCTCACTACTGTCAGGATGTGACACCTTGCTCCACCCAAGATGGGCTCCTGTGTCATGGCTCACTTTGCTGCCAGTGTGTGAGTGACAAGAACAATGGATACCTTGGTGAGACTGCACTCTGAAGCTCTCTTTATAATTTGTTAGAAATTTTACTTTTTAGCAACTTAACCTTTCTGTATCGTACCCACGTATGATCTTACTGCAAGCATCTAAACTGTCTCCTAGAAGGCTTTAACCTGACATTTGTTAGCATGGTTTCCAAAGGCCAACACGTGAAGGGCATCCTATAATACTTTGAAAATGGAACTGGGGGAATCAGTTCCCTTCAAACTTCATGACCTTGAATTATATACTCCATCTAATGCTGTGTTTGGTTAATTCAATTTAGCCACTTGCAATGGATCTGTGCCCAGAGGTGGCCATGCGTGGTGAGAACAGTTTCAACATCTCCACTTCCTTTCTATCTTGCTTTCTGTATGTCTACTTCTGGATTTGGGGGTTTCACTATTAACATTAGAAACAAAGTAGCATTCAGCACTTTGGTCTTCCTCCTGGGAACCATAGAGCTGCAATGATGTTAGAGACAAACTGAGCAAGTTTCTTTGTCTAATGACCAGGGGCCAAGTGGTGTCTGTAGCCTTGAGTATTCAGGCACAAGAAAACAGATTTCACACAAGGCTATGATGGGGAACTGTGGAATATCATCTAACAATCCCAGGGAAAACACTGCTCCTCCTGCAAACCACACACACTGGGGCTTCATCACCAGTGAAACAACCAATGGTTAAAAATCTTCCCACTAGTGTACAGATATAAATCTCCCCACAAAGACCTTACGTGTTTCAGCAGTGCTTCAGCATGTTCTCCTAATACAATATGAGATACGTGCTGGGTAAACACAGAGTCGGAACCCTGCGATCTGCATCTGCTCAGTGTTTAGGAGTTTGTTACATGCAATAATGTAACTATTTAGTGAGATTACCAGTGAGACCTAAACAACTCTAAGAGGATTTACTTTAACTATTTCCACCCTTTCTGTGCATTTAGAGTCAACTTTGAATAGACCTTTGCTATGGGGTTGAAAATTTTTACAACCCCTTGAGTGCTGAGACTTCACATGGCAGCTGTCTATAGAACCTTCCTTATCTCTGGTCTAGCTGGTCAACAATGTTGCCATTAGCATTTCTTTTAAATCACTGGATGATTCATATTATCAGTTGACAGTTATATACTGCAGGTCTGGGAGAAGTCTCCTGATGGGCATGGTGATTTTACAGCTAAACTCTTAGAAGAAAATGTCTCCCTGATTTTGAAGCTTTTATCTTTCTTTCCTTTTCTTTTTTTTCTTTTCTATTTTTCTTCTTCTTTGTTTATTTGAGGGAGGGAATTCATGCTGGAGGTCTGAAGTCCACAATATAAGGAAGAGCTTGCACTCAGCAAGTGTCTACCCTGAGTTAAGAACTCTACTGATTCTTTTTCCGAAAGCAGTAAGAGACAGATGTCTCTCGGTTTAAAGATGAGTAAACTGAGCAAGAGAAAGTCTAACACTAATGGCAGAATCACTCTTCAGGGACGAGAAACAGATTGTTTGGAAATGTAAAAGTCTGTGCTGTGCGCGGTGTTAGTGAAGGCCTTCATCGGTGGGTAGGATTTCCGCTTCCTTTCCTGCTGGTCTAGAATGAGAAAGGAGAGTTCTGCAAGCACTCTTTGTATGCTGAAGAACAACAACAACAAAATGATTCCTTCCCTTTGAGCTCAGGTCAAGCTGTACATTTTAACTCAGTTCTACTTCTGTGTAAAACTTCTTGACGTTAGGAGAAAGATTTGCCCCTCTCTCTGAAACTGTATTTTAAGCTCCCATGATAATCTGAATCCTCCTGAAACATGCATAATGCTCAATTCTCATCCCTTTATCTAAGCCCGGTTTCATTTGGCCTTTCTTACCAAATCAAAGCACAGGGCGTTCTTTCTGTCTTTAAATACGCTAAGGTGCGAATAGCTGTGAGCTCACATCTATATGATATGTAGGCTTGCACAGCTATAATTTAAACTTAAAAAATATCCCTGTGTGATTGGCTACCTCACCATGGTGGTGTTGGAACCAAATGCGGGAAAGGGTTAAATGTTTCCCGAGTCACCAATGATAAAATGTTTGTAGTTCTTAACTTTTGAACAAATATCCAACTTTCTGTCAGTTTCTCTGAGGAGTGCTTTCAGACATATTTCTAGGTCTCGGCGTAATCTTGCTGTTAATGCAAACTTGTTGGAGTAGAGAGAGTGTATTTATTTTATTATATATTTTTCTCCCGATGGAGGAAATTTTAGTGCTTTTCTTTCTTTTAAACTGCCTACAGTATTTGCTATTCACAGATGTTCTGTTTTGAATAAGGTCTATCAAAGTGTGAAACTAGATGGATACTTTTCTTCCCTTTAAAATGGAATGGACTTGCATTATGCAGTGTTCTTAGGTGAATTTTCTTGTTTAAGAAGCCAGAATACAAGAGAGTGCTATATTAGTGCATTATTCTCACAGCAAACAAGCCCTGTTCTGTCGCTACCTGCTTGGCCATTGTTTCTGATTGTGTGCGCTGTGCTGTGGTGTTTGGATGGCTTCCTGCTCTCTGCCAGCACAAAAAGGCATTTCTGTTACAATGGCCCCTAACCACACAATGACGGCATTAAGGATTTATGTGGAGGTTTCATTATTTTCTCCTCTTTTGTTCCTTCCAGGATGTCTTCCAAGCGACCAGCCTCTCCGTATGGGGAGACAGATGGAGAGGTAGCCATGGTGACAAGCAGACAGAAAGTGGAAGAGGAGGAGAGTGAGAGGCTCCCAGCCTTTCACCTTCCCTTACATGTGAGTTTTCCCAACAAGCCTCACTCTGAGGAATTTCAGCCAGTTTCTCTGCTGACGCAAGAGACTTGTGGTCCTAGGACCCCCACTGCGCAGCACAACACAACGGTAGGTTTCTCATGGTCTCCCTGTCTGCCAGGCTATCCCTCTAATAGCTTGGCTTCAGGCTTTTGCTTGAAATGATCATGTGTTTAAGAACCACACAGACAATTCATGTCAGGGATTGTAGAGTTCTTCCCAGTGAGTTGATTCTGTTAGGGAACATAAGAAATGATGTTTAGTTCTGAGTGTGCTTTACGAGAGGGACCTGCTTCTGACACACAATTAGAGGGAAATCCATACAAAAATGTGAAGATTGTGGTAAGATGACATGGCTAAAGTTAACCAGAATCAAAGTTGGCTTCCTATTCTTGGTGAAGAAACATTAGATCTAGCTGTTTCTATTCATGGTTGTTAGACCTCCTGGGTCAAACAGCCTTCAATTATTTTACCATATGACCGTATTTTCCCTCCAAGAATTTTAGATACTGTAATACACCCATATACATACACACACATGAGTGTGAGCATGTGTGTATGTGAGTGTGTGTGTAGAGAGGGACTAAGCCCTCCTTGATACCATAATAATTCATAACCTTCACAATAATCTAGTGAGGTGGTATTAATAATTTTCTTTTATATTTGAGGAAACTGAGGCAAGGTGAAATTAAAAGATGCTCTAGGTCATGGAACCAGGATTTACTCAGACAGACTTCAGGGTCTATGGTCCTGACCTTTCTTCACAAGAGCTCACGCATAGCTTCTGTCTTCTTGTCTGTCCCTTGGTAAACTTAATCATGTTCTACATGGCCTCTCTCTCTTCAAGACTTACCATTCTGTTCAAGGCTGTGGCTCTGTATCTTCTTGTGCTAGAGGAGAAAGGAGCAGGTGGGTAGGAAACCTTAGGTCTGCATGGGGAAACGTCAGATTCTCCATCTGCTGTTGCGTCTCTCTGATGTGCTATCGGTTTAATATTTTGACCACTGCCTGTTCTCGGGTGGTTCCAAACCAAGTGTGTTTCTTGGATGGATCTTCCCTGTGACAGTGACATACATACGGAAGTCTGAAGGGCTGAATATAAATAGCGATGGCTCAAAGGGTGGCCAAGATGACGATGAGATAATTTTAAGCACACTCAGAGACGAATGAGCATAAGAGAGGCAGACAGTGGTGACATTGGGGACAGCGTGAAGTTCTGAACTGTGATTTGTGGCTTGCCTGAAAACGGACAGGGAACTCTGTTTACGAGAGAACAGCACAGGCTACTGAGATGGCTCAGCATGGAAGGAAGCCAGATACACAAGGTAGCTCCAGCCATAGAACTCATTCTGGAACGAGAGAATCAGCTCTCGAAAGCTGTCTTCTGACTCCCACACACGTGCACATGCTTATACACAGGCACACAATAATACTAATAAACAAATTTGAAAATTAAAACAATAGATCTGAGTAGTGTATGATCTCCAGGGAATTCTTCAGCAGATCTGCAATCCAAAGTAGTTGAGACCCACTGTGGAATATGTTATTAGGATATAAGTAAACGACCCATTCCATATTAGTGAGATCGACATTTGGACTTTCTTGTACGACATGAGTGTTTTATGAGTTCGCTTCTCCCTCAGATGTTTCCCGCTTCACCAGTCTTTCTCCTCTTGAGTAGACACTTGAACATGCTGTAACCCTCATTTCTAAGCCCTTCTGTTAGCATTCCCAGACTTCCATAGATAGGACTTGTTTACATGAGAAAGGACTTACTGTTAAGTGTGCATGCCATGTTGCTTCTAGGATGTAGCCCAAACTCTTCACCTCTGCAGCAGGTCCTGTAAAAAGCATCCCACATGTGATAAGGTTTCTTCTGCAGTCCGCATGGGATCCGTGCTTTGGCCACGCCCAGTTTCACACATAGTTATGAACATAGCTGCGCAGTTCTACACCTCCTTGTGGTATATCTTTCTGATTCTTTATGTTTATGGTAAATATCTTTTTCCATAGGAGTAGGTGAAAGGTCACTGAAGTTTAGATGGGTTTGATTAAATCTTGGACAATGGAGAGCACCTTGTTCCTTCATCGGTGCCACCTTTTCCTAGGGTCCGCATTGTGACCTGTGCACATAGATGCTTGTCTCTAAATAGTGTGTACATGGTGTTTTTTGTACACACACACACACACACACACACACACACACACAGGTTTTGGACTAAAGCATGAAATCATACTCAGTTTACGATGATTTGATAAATACTTGGGTTGATATGGTTCAATAAGTACTAAGTATTTGGAGGTAAAGTTGCCAAACCTGTCAATTCCTGGTGACTATCGTCTAGAAATCTCAGACCTACAGGGATGCTTACTAATGTACTGTCTGGAAGAGTTAGGATGTAGTAAGTTCTTACAATAAGACCTATTATAAACACTTATCAAAGGGGTTGAATGTATTTATGGTATCATTATTCAACATGAATAATTTCTTTTTTTATAACAGATTATTGTCCTAGTCACACAATAGAGTCTTATGTTTCATGAGGAAATATATTCTGTACATTTTTACTCAGTATCATTGAAAATGGAGAATGCTTCATAGTCTTTGTATTGTAGAGTGGTTTCTGAAAGGCTGCCTGGTAGAATCAGGGAGAGGCTTTCCATGTAAAACTTTGGTCCAAAGATATTTTCTGAGATGAAAACTTTGCACACTCTGTGGTCAATAAAGACGAAAAAATTCGGGGGTCCTGTTTGGATCCAGTTATGAAACTGTTAAGTCCTAGGTCAGAGCCAGATCAGGATGCAAACCTGCCTCTCTGAACTCCTGTTTCTTTTCGTAGTATTTGGAGAAATGAACTAGGTGCTTAACTAAGAGAAACTCTGGGTTAGGGTAGCTGTAACCAGCACAAATCAGATTTTCTGTGGGCTTTTGACTTGCAGGGAAGAATGCAGCCGTAAGCTTGTGATATATGCGTGGCAGTGTAAGACAGATATCTAATCCTTGTGGGTTCAGGCCCTGGGTTGGCAAAGAGTAAGGGGCTGCTTCTCTTTTCTTCAAAGAAGCCCTCATAACTTTTCCAGACCCCAACTCCCTGATCATTTCCAACAAGCTGTATGAACAAATGATTTCTCCATGAATGGACAGGCCATCCAGACCTTTAACCTATGGATAATAAAACCATCTTGACCTTTAACCTATGGATTATAACAGTCGTCCTGTATCTTTTGTTATTTTTCTTGCTTGTTTGCTTGTTTTCCTGTTTGTTTTAACATTTTTTACATATGTGTGTTCTGTGTGTAGGGATTATTAAACATCTCTGTGTAGGTACATCTGTATTCTTATACACATAAATATGTGTACATACACACTTAGAGGTCAAAGTTCAACATTGGCACCTGCTTGGGCATTTTCTGCCTTATTTTTGAGGCAGGGTCTTGGAAAGTATGATATACTCATTAGTCTTCGCTGGCCTGGCTGGACATGGATCTCACGGGTCCTACCCAGTACTAAGTAAGATTCCAAACCCATGCTGCTACACATGATTCTGATATGTATGATTGGCTCCAAGCCTCTGTCCATGCAGCAAGCACTGTACAGCCCAAGTCATCTTCCCAACTCCTGGGTTTTCATTTTGTTTTGTCTGCTTCTTTAAAGTGGGCTTGACTGTTGCCTCAGAGTTTCATAGACAAATGGGTCACTCTGTGACTCAGGCTAATCTTAAGAACAGTTCTTATATGGGCAGGCTGAGTGAAAGATACAGGCAACCTCCAGCAGGCGGTCTCCTGGAAGTCAGCGCAGGGTGTGTTGAAGCAGCTCTGAAGAGACGACGGACCTCTGGTGCTCACTGCGGGGCAGCCTCTGGTGCGTGTTTTCTGTCTGGTTGCCTGCCGCATCTGTTGGTGAGCTCTCAGCTCCAGTGCAAATGTGATGTGAAATGACACCACTGCCACCCGTGGTTCCAGAATAATCTGTTGTCTATTTTTTTTTTAAAGTCCGTTCTGCTTTCAAGCTTTCTTTCAATTCTTTAAACCGTTCATGTTTTGAAGGAATGATACGTTATTTTCAATATGAAATCACTGGAGTGGCTTGCTCTAGATGTAACTAACTCTTATTATTTAAAAAAATAAGTGCATGAGTGCTCCTTGTTTTGCATTGTTTCAGGTGCAGCAGACAGTCTTGTACATTTGAGATAAGAGCAGTATCTGTGAGCTGCAACCTAGATCTCTTTTAATAATACAAAGTTATAGGTACCTGATTGCCTCTGATACTGGCTCAGGCCATTCTGAAACTGTCAGTCTCCTGAGTCACTGGACCTGAAGTTACACCCAACTATTCCAGGCTGTGTGTATATTGTGTGTGTGTGTGTGTGTGTGTGTGTGTGTACATATAGAATATATTATGTATGAGATATATTTATAGTTGATAGTTATTATATTTTTCTGGACATATTCAGATTTCTGGGTCTTCATGGTCATCTTGTACTCCTGTGCTGTGTGTTGGAGTCAGTTTGCATCTACACTGTATAGCCAGAGTAAACATGAAACAACAATTAGTCCGAGTCTACTCCTGCCTCATGTCCATCAAAGAAATAAAGTAAGATGCGATTTCAAGTTAACTTTACATAAAAGACACAATGTTGTTCTTTTGATTATAACATAGGAAGGCTTCAGTATAGGAAAGCCAGCCTTAATCATTGGTATAAACACTCATCTGAGGAAGGACGTGCTCAGATGTGCTCAGGCCCGTGGTCTGACGTAGATTTCTTTTAAACACAAGGTTATCTTTAACTGTTACATTGTAGCTGTGACTTTCAGTGCCTGCTATATGAATTTTGCTTACAATAGAAGAATCAATTATGTATTTCTGATATCTAGGATAGTGTTACCTATGGGAAGTTATTCAAAAAATTTCCAGAAAAGAGAAAAATGTATCATTCAAAAATAAATCACAGAATACAAACTTAATTGTGGGGTGGTAAAGATTACTATTCTTATCTGGTACTTTATGTAAGCTTTTCAATATCTGGTGCTTTTGTACGTAAAACTTAGCTTTGAGCTATTGTGGCGTGCTAAGCCTCACTATTGTTAAG